GACTCCGCTAGGCTTAGCAATAAAGAGGATGAGCGCATTCATACTAGGTGCGGGTACTAATGCTTTCCAGGCGGGTACTCGCACCTAGTATGAATGCGCGTTGTTCGTTGTGGTACATTTGAATTGCAGACCTTAAGAAAAAGTTCACTTAAATTAATCTCTAATCAGAATTTGTCTCTAAGGCCAATATGTACGAAAGGTACATATTAATAAAGTTGCAGGAGCAGTGTTTCGTAGGCTGAGCTACACTTTGACATTGGAAACATATAAAGATGTAAAAAAAAGGTTAATATAGATTATCTCCTCACAAGAGATGTATTGTTAGAAAAAGCCACTTGAGATTGAATGCAACTCAAAAAACTTTAAATAAAGACAAAGAAATAGTCGGTAACAAATAGTACGCAGAGATGCAGCCTCCAAACTAATTTTAGAAAGACATACCACAAGGGATCGTAACGTTCTCGAGGTACTCGCTACCTATTTTTCGACAATTAAGAACGTCCAAATGGATAGAAAATACACAATACTGCCGTAAGTGTATCTCATACAAAAGCGTGGAGTATATCGCCACACCCGATCGCGCGCACTGTACTAGTACGCTTAGAATAACTTGCGAGTGAGGGTATGTCCATAGGTACATACTTAATTCCTTCGCACCTCACTTCCCTTCCTTTCACCTAGGGGTGATCTTGCTTGACTTATTGGTTGTTGTCCCTTCTGCCAGACTAGTCTCAGATGTAAATATTTATATCAACTGTATTAATGAGAAAACTGTCACATTTCTATAATTTGAAATAAAGTTAAAGCAAAACAAGAAATAAAAATATGTGGACATAAAATATGCTCAACGCCTGAGCACATTGATTGAATTGTACTACTCTGAACCACAATGCCTCCCCCGGCTTCAAAACAGTATTAGCTGCTTTTGCTGCTCCTCTCTATTCCTACAGATCTCTGCGTTCAGCTCGCCCACCACAAAACTTCAATCTCGAGGCAGAAGCAAAATTAACACCACACCACAAAACACGTCGTCACGACCGTGCACCTACACCCTTCCAGCGGTAGCTCTAAATTACTTTCATTTATCCCCGGCACCCAAGGAATAGAGCAATACCACAAAAAATGTCTGAGTGCGTCATTAGTAAGGTCTTATAATTTTTGATATACTATGGCAACTTTATATTTTTACGTTTTGTTCTTGATATTGTTAATTTTGATTCTGCCTCGAGGTTGGTAGGTGGAAATTCTTGTTTTTCTTGTTCATGATATTGATAATTTTGCTTCAAACTCGAGGCAGAAGCAAAATTAGCATTATCAAGAACAACAGAAATGCCGAGGTTCCAAGATGAGAAGACTTGGAATTTACTTTTTGTTTTTTATTTTGAAATGTGCAATACTGATAATAATATTAGGATGCGAAAAGTCTCGCACGTTTCGCAATTATTTTCTAGTTTACCAGTCGGATCGCTCGTCTAAGTTCGAAGTTTGAAGTTCCACCCATCTCATGACAAAGTTGCGCTAATTTGCTAAATCGTCACTCCTTACATTCAGAAACAAATGATTCCTTTCGGTTTACAAAATGTGACACAGCACTAACAGAGTAGTGCAAGTGGTACACATTGTGTGCCGATGATTGGAAGTCTCGATCTGTTCTTTTTACTTTAAAAATAATCACCCATTACAGATTCGACTGTCAGGCAACTAAAGCCTTAAATGGCACTACAAATCATGCCGAGTGATAATAACACCATCATTGGCTCTACGGATTTATCATTAGTTGAGAATTACAGATTACTGGTGGTCGGATAAGTTTTGTCGCAAATAATTTCGAAACGGAGGTAAACCGTAACCACAATTGATTCACAAACCACACTTGCACGGTAGCGGTCCTAATCCAGCAAGAAGAAATAAGCCAATTTTTCCTCTCCTCATAATGAAGCGCCTTTAACCGGTCCATATCATTGCCCTTACCACTCACTTTAGTCATCCTACTCTACCATTTCGTCTTAACGAATGAAACATACTGTATAATTAAAGCTACATCGTAAATACCGAAGGGTTAGAGTTTCAATCGGTAGGTGGCGCTCGCTCTCTTAGGCCTCTTATCTTCTTTTATCATTTATTACCAGTTCCTGTCACCGAGTACCTAACCGACACTGGGCGGTACTTTGCCCACAGGTTCATAACTACATTCAAAGCGGGCGTGGACGCTAGAAAAAGTGGCAAGAGGAGTGAGCAGGGCCTTACGGTGCTATGCGTGCATGGCAAAGCTCCGCCCACGATAGGGGGAGGGGCATGCGTTCAGGTGTTAAATTCCTTTTGAAAATGCTTATGGATCTATTTTGGCGAGGCCAAAATCAAATACTTATGAGTCTATTCAAAAACGTCCTAGAAAGCGGGAAAGAAGTGGCTAGAGGTATCAGAGGGAGGGCGGCCGAATCTCCGGAGTGGGCGGGGTTAGCCAAATGACTTTACGAGAAAGGAAGAAGAAAGACTTTCTATTCATTCTGAACAAGAAGGTATCCGAGTAAATTAACGTCCTCATAAAACCAGTGAGGTTATGATCAGATCGGAAACCCTAGGTAGGTATGCTTCCTAAGCCGACTTTCTGTATCATCCCCTGACCAAGCACTATCCGAGGAAGTCATTATTAGAATGAAATAGTTTTATTTTATATTCATCGAAAGGAAGTGCTGGATTGTTTGTGCCAAACTTCGTCCCTATTACATAAGAAGGAGGATGCCCGGAGTTAGCTGGGCGATCCTACTCCGACTGATTATATATAAAGCAGTAAATTAGTGGGCAGGTTAATGGAGTGGAGCGAGTGCTGCGGAGTGAAGTGAGTAATGTTTAGTTAGGTGTGTACTTCAAAACTGTAATTACGATCTGTATTAGCATCGCGCTATTTATATCTATACAAAAACCGGAGGTAATAATGTAGTTGAGATACTTCGCTTTTTTTAAACATTCAGCGCTAGAGATAAAGAGGTCAACCCATAATTATGCTAAGGAAAGTCCTAGCCGAGATTATAAATTTTTTCTGACCTAAGCTTCAGGAAGGAAAGAGCACCGGGTGTGTGAGTCAATTGGAATTCCAACTCTTACCCCATCTTAGTTTTAAGCTCGGCTACCCATCCTTCTTCGAACTTAAGTCCAATTGTTGAATAAATGCGAGGCCCCCCACCCCTTCGTTACTACATCATTTTCTGACTATTCATTAAATGGAGGAATTAGGCCCAGCGTAAGCCGGGCGACCCGTCTGGTAGTAGAATAATTCGCTAAGTGGGTGTGTTGGTGTGTGTATTTGACCCGAAATTCACGGCTCCGTTCCCGTGGACCTAGAACGTTGAAATTTGGTAGGAGTACATGCGACAGGGTGGTAACACTCACGACAGGAAGCAGGAACAGGCTCCGCCCACAGAGGGCGGGGCGTGCGCGAAATAAATGGATGAGCGGGAATTCATAAAACTCCCGTTTAGGTAAAGAGTTCAAATTTGGTAGGATCAGAGCTTCTCGTACTAACAGTGGAATCTTGGCATTTCAAGTGATGAGGATATGACGGGATCGTAGGCACCCGGCGACAAGAACCGATAATAACTGATCAGAAAGATAAGGGTGGTAGAGTAGGGCGACAAATGTGAGCGGTAAAAGCATCGATAGGGCTACACTACCGGTACTACGATAAGCAGATGAGAATTTTATTCGTTTCTTGCTATTAGATACGACCGCTACCTAGCAAGGTTTGTGACTCAATGAGGATCCTCTTTGGTCGATGTCATTTGTGGGAGAGCCTAGCCGACCGCCAGTAATCTGGAATTCTCCTAATGATATCTCTGTGAAGGAAAAGGTCCACTGATAACGACGCCTGACAGTGTTATCACCACTCGAAACATTTGTGAGTACCGCCCGAAGCTTTGGTTGCCTAACGGTTGAATCATTTAACAGAACGGTCTTCTTTTGACATCAAAGGCTCTGACGAAGGCGACTGGCCGAAACGTTAGCCGTATAAACATTGTATCATCTTGGCCGTGGCTTCGGAGAGACCTCCCAAGTTATCATCTATACTATGCCAAGATTAAATGATAGTCGAACATAGTTGGATCTTTACTGGCTATTTACTTTTAAGGAAGAGAGCAAGAGATTGAGACTTGCAATCAAAGGCTCAGGCACACTACAGCTACAGTAAATACCATCGGCGCTGTCCTGTTAGTCCTGAATCGAACTTCGTGTACAGAAAAATATATTTGTTTCAAAGAAAAAGTGGAGAATTAACCGATTACTACAACTTTGCCAGAGAAGGAGTTAAGCCCGACGTTAGCCGGGCGATCTGGCCTGTAAAGGATAAGCTATTCAGAAGAAAAAATTGCATTCTGTTGAGGTTTAGCCAGATTTTCTAAGATCCGTTTCGGAATATTCCGCGATAAACTTCCAATAGTAAATAGCCATAGAAAAAACTATTTAAACGAGTTTCAGATAGGCACATCACCTCAGGTGTAAGAAATTGGTAGACAAAACCGCTAATTCAACCTACTGGCACACTAGAATGCTAACTCAATCGACTTGTTGATTGAACTGTCTTCGAAGATTTAATAGAGTTGAATCACCATTTTGAAAAGCTATTACAAGCATAGGTTAAATAGTGAGATGTACATATAGCATCATCTCCTTCCCTCAAATTTTTTCCGTGAGGTATACAAGCTGATTACTCAGAAAACAGACCCCTAGGCTAGCCAAAACCCGCGTCACCCCGCTCCTTAACCCTTTGACGACCATGGCACCCGCCGGCGGGTGCCACTATGACTGGCGCATGGGACCATGACACCCAATGTTGGGTGCCAGCATGTTTTTTCCTTTATTGGCACATTTGAAACTAATTTAATATTTTGATATTTATTAACAAACTTCATAATATTTATATTCAACATGGTCCACGATATTGTTTTATTAGAGCTTATTTATACAAACATATATGTACAATGGGGTACCACTGAACAAAAAACCTAGGTACTTCCGCAAGATTTATGTACATCTTGAAAACACTGCAGACAGTAGAAGCCGTGACAAATGCTACATTGGGTTTTCACTTTCTTAGCATGTACTCTAGCATATTGACGTTTGAAATCGTTTACCATTTTGCTGTAACAACTTTTACATTTCCGGCGTCCATTGGAGTCTGCTTCTGGTATTTCGATTAACTTGCGTTTTTTTCCATGGCCTGTGCTGTTTTTTCCATCAAGGTCCATCAAGATCTCAGCAACTGCAATTTTGAAGTCGTTAAACTTCATCCTACTGTTCTGATTATAGAGCATCCAGGCGTTCACAAGAGCAGTCTGGGTTAGCAGATGGAAGAAGAGCCTTATGTACCACTTGGCTGTCTTCCTGACAAACGGAGTGTAAGAAGCCATTTGATCACTGTGGTCTACAAAACCCTTCATCTTGTTGTAATCATCCACAACTTTGGGCTTTTCGTTGACACCGCAAGATCCGTCGTGTCTTGTTGAGGGCATGTAGATTTCCCTTTTGTCTCTCCACTTCAGAAGCAGAATCCCTCGTTATTTTGTTGGAAATGGATATCGCCTTTTTTTAAGGGCCTGTTCTTCACAGCGAGCGGAATTCCTTTGCGGCATTTTCTGATAATTCCGATAAGATTGGTTTTTCGTGCAAGCAAAGAGTTTGCCAGAGACAGACTTGTATACCAACTATCAGTGCACAGATCTCTTCCTTGATCCAAATAACCTTTCATGAGCTCCATAACCACTGCGTCAGCTACACTTCCTGTCCTTATGGAGTCCTTGCCTGCATAAACCTTCACCTTCAAAGTGTATGCACCTTTGAAACAGAGCCTGAACAGTTTGACACCGTACTTGTGGCTCTTAGACTTGTTGAATTGCTTGAATACGATCCGTCCTTTGAATGGTACCATTGTTTCATCAATGCAAATTTCCTTTTCTGGCTTGTACATTCGTTGAAAGGAAGTGTTAAGTAAGTCTAAAACCGGCTGAATTTTATAGAGTCTACTTTCCTTGTCGGCATTTTCGTTGTCTACGAAGTGTAAGCATGATAGCAGGACTTCAAAACGATTTCTAGCCATGATTTTAGTTGCCACAGAACATCCGAAAATAGGCTTCGTAGACCAGTAATCACGCATGCTCGGCAGCTCGACAATTCCCATGTAGAGACAGATGCCCAAAAACCGTTTCATTTCTTCGACAGTTGTATCGGTCAAGTCTTTATTCCTAACCACCATTTTCTCTTTTGCATACCTATTCGTCTCTGTAACCATGAGATCTAACAATTCACTTGTTAGGAAGAGCTGGTAGCAATCGATAGGCCTCGTACAATTCTGAGCAGAGTCATCTGGTCCACTTTCTTCAGCGAAAACGAATCGGTCATAGGGAATAACGTCTTCATCCCAAGATTGTTCATCATCTTCTTCACAATCATCTTCATGCTCGTCATCCTCGGATGAATCATACTGAACAGGTACAACCAAAGGTTGAACGGAGTCTTCATTCAGCAGAGTCTCATCTTCCTCGCCAAAACTGTCATCTGAGAAGCCATAATGCCCTGCGAAGTCGTCCATCATGATGTTCGGGAGTGGTCACTTACTGACTTCTCCAGCCTTTTAGAGTCACTATGTCGATTTAGGCTTGAGTTATACTTTTCAACGGTCTGTATGGATCGATTTGCAGTCATGTGACCTTCCCACGCAGTCATGTGACTGTCCCGTCGTCTCAACAAGGCAGTTGCAAAGCATAATTTGATATTTAAGGGCCCTTAATTTGATACGGATTTCTACTACAAACATTATTCTAAGAATTTTGTCCTATATTGCTTCCAAGCCCAGACTCCATTTTCAGGCCTCACATAATTATAATTGAATGAAATGGGGTCCAAATATTTTCATTCCAAGCGAAATATTGCTGAAATTATCAATTCAAAGAAGGGAGTTTCTCCTGGGACCATGGCACCCAGCGGTGGGTGCCAGTCGCGCACGAAACGGAGGGGGCGTGGCCCCATGGGCGCGTCACGTCGAAAACGGCGTCAAAGGGTTAAATCCGCACGGCTGCTGCAATCTGCTTCTGCTTTACTCTGCTACACTCCTTCGTGCGCGACGTCGCTCTCGCCGCAAAGCGACCACTACGATTTATCTACACCACACTTGTTTCTTTACCCAACATCCTTTTTCGATGCCTCGTATATGTGACGCATGATTATGACAGTCGACCATTGTACCACAGAGCATTGGAACTCACTTTTGAAGAGGAACAGTACGAGAATTGGGAGCGTGCTCACGGTAACCACAACAAACTGCACGCACATGCGGTGCGGTGCAGTAGGAACGAAGTTGTCGCGTCGCGGCGAGAAAGACGCCGCGCGCGAAGGAATGTAGCAGGATGCAGCAGTACGTAAGAAATACAAGAACAAAGTACTAATAGTAGAATTATGCATAAAATAATGATCGCATATCGATTGAGCTGTATGAAGAACGCTATAGATGTAATAACGGCGAAGCGAGGTCCGCGATAGCCGCGTGCGGCAAATCGACTACCCAAAATCGCTCCTACTGCCCGTCTCGCGCACATGCACATAGTCATAGCTGTAAGTTACATAACGTTTGGAAATCCTATAGTGCTCCCTTAGACCGGTTCTAACCACTATTCGCCTCCGTTGGCGCTGAATGTGACCTTCGCTCAAGCGAACAACTTTAGCAGAAAGCAATTACCCCTGAACCCCAGCGAAATAAATCCATATTGTGGAACAATGTTGACGCAAAACATAGACACAGAAACAGTATTGATCCAGATGAATAGAACTAATATTGAAAATGTGCAGACCGATGGTGATAATGCATTTCGGAGCACAATATCCCATTCTTACGTCACACTGATGATGATGTCCTCATGAAACACATTGAAAAATACGTTAGAATGAATAATCCAGAAACGTAAACCATGCCTCTGAAGCGCACAATCAGTGCAAAACACGAATGGACGAAGAAATTCTAGATGTGGCGGTCCACATGCTATTGTTTGGATATTATAAACAAAATGCCCTATCAACCACTGGCATGCCAATTGGTGAAAACAAAAACGTAACGGTCAGCGCAAGATGGTCACGACAAGTATGCTTTTGTTTAAATACCACCTGACGATTAGGGGTATTATAGACACTTTTAAAGATCACCGCGAAGGGTTGGGTACGCTACGATTCTATCATCTTTGCCGCGCAACTAACGCGCGGCGCATTAGATTGTCATACCGAGTGCTATGCTTCGGTTGGAATTAGTTTTCCGCGCGCGGATACTTGAATGCAACTAGGCCATTGAGAAGTGAACGGTACCTGCTTGTAAATAAAACAAAATAGAAGTAGGTTACGGCGTGTAGAGTTCTTTCTCCATGTCCTAAACAGAGATATAAAAAAAGAAAGCAGTAAGATGACACTTCGAAGAAGATTCCCCACCAGAACCGTACAGAACCCCTGCAGCATTGAACTTGTACTCAAATGTCCGCGCGCGGGAAAAT